AGGCACCAATCTACCACCACACTGCCTTTTACCGCTGATCACCTGTAGGGCGGCCCTTTGAAGCCCCGCGGCAAGAGTTTAAACAGTTTTTTTCCTTCTAGCTGATCAGCTGGGACTCAGGAGGCAGCAATAGATTGGGGGTGGGGCCAAATAAAAGGTAAGAATAACGCAGGGCGGGGGGTGGGGTGGGGGTGGGGCTAGCTCCCGAACAGAGAGAACTGGTTCGGTGACGTCATATCGTCACTGCTACCGGCTCGGCCGAACCGGGAGGAACCCACCACTGAACTGAACCCAAAAGGACATTTCTTCCAACAGTAGCAAGATCCAGAGGAATTCTCTCCCATTTTTGCTGCATTCATTAGGATGAAAAAGCACACACTGCAAGTTTCTTATACAAGAGTGTGTGTCAGTTCACAACTCCAGGGCAAAGAATAAGAATAATCCCCATAGATTCTAGTGATAAAACTGTATACATGTGTTTGTGTGTATGCAAAATATTAACTTTCTATTGCTGAACAATATTCATTATTTAAATGGATACAATACTGGACTTACAACAGTTCGTTTAGTGACCATTCAAAGTTACGACGACTCTGAAAAATGTGACTTATGACTGTTTTTCACAGTTACGACCTTTGCAGCCTTCCCCCATGATCAGGTGATCAAAATTCAGACACTTGGCAACTGACTCATATTTATGACAGTTGCAAGTGTCTTGGGGTCACATGATCCCCCTTTTGTGACCTTCTGACAAGGAAAGTCGGGGGGGGGAAGCCAGATTCGCTCAGTGACATGATATACTTAACAACTGCCGTGATTCATTTAACAACTGTGGCAACAAAAGTTGTAAAATTGGGGAAAGCTCTCCGAACAAATGTCTCACTTAACAATAGAATTTTTGGGCTCAATTGTGGTCCTAAATCGAGGACTGCCTGTAATATAACCATTCCAACACAACCATACAGAAAGGCGAAATATTGGCTCATCCAGGCCATTTATTCTTCCCTCACCTTTCTCCGTTTTCTTCCATTAATCTATTTTTAAAATATATTTATATATTTGATATACAAAGTCTTCTTTCTGAGCAGCTTTTTTCTACACTTACTTTTAACAGATTAACAGAGTTGGGAGGGACCTTGTAGGTCATCTAGTCCAACCCGTCCCCTGCCCAAGCAGGAGACCCTACACTATTTCTGACATATGGCAGTCCAGTCTCTTCTTCAAAGCCTCCAGTGATGAAGCTCCCACAACTTCCTAATGCAACTTCTGTTTCATTGGTTGATTGCTCTGTCAGAAAATGTCTCCCTATTTCTAGGTTGAATCTCTCCTTGGTCAGTTTCCATCCATTGTTCCTTGCTTGGACTTCAGATGCTTCGGAAAATAGCTTGACCCTCTTCCTCTCTGTGGCAGCCCCTCAAATATTGGAAGATTATTATCCTGTCTCCCCTGGTCCTTCTCTTCACTAGACTAGCCAGGCCCAGTTCCTGCAACCGTTCATCGTATGCTTTAGCCTCCAGTCCCCTCATCATCCTGGTTGCTCTTCTCTGCACTTTTTCTAGAGTCTCAACATCTGTTTTATAGTGTGGTGACCAAAACTGGATGCAGTACTCTAGGTGTGGTCTTACTAAGGCTTTATAGGGGGGTATTAGTACCTCCCTTGACCTTGATTGTATCCCTCTGTTAACGCAATTTAGGATTGCATTGGCTTTTTTGGCTGCTGCCACACACTGCTGGCTCATATTTAGCTGGTTGTCCACTAAGACTCCAAGATCCCTCTCACAGTTCCTGCTATTAAACCTGGTTTCACCCAGTCTACATGTGTCCTTTTGGTTTTTCTTGCCTAAGTGTAAAACTTTCCTTTTCTCTACACTGTACTTTTTTTTTTTTGCTTTAATTTATATGCCACCCTTCTCCGGAGACTCAGGGCGGCTTACAATGCGTTAAGCAATAGCCTTCATCCTTTTGTATATTTATACAAAGTCATCTTATTGCCACCACAATCTGGGTCCTCATTTCACCTACCTTTGAAAGGATGGAAGGCTGAGTCGACCTTGAGCCTGGGGAGATTTGAACTTACAGTAATTGCAAGCAGCAGATGTTAATCACAGTGCTTTAGTCCACTGTACTACAGGCTCTTCATTCCCTAAACGCCGATTCCTTCATTGGCTTCTTCCCAATTGTCATATTGCCCTTTCTCAAAGATGCTCAAACAGCATGTAGGGTTCCCTTACTATTTATTTACTGCCTTTATTGTTTTTACAACTAACTCTCAAGACAGGAAAGATACCAAATACTCCTGCCTCCTATTTTCCCCACAACAACCCTGTGAGGTGGGTTGAGCCAAGAGAGAGGGAGTGGCCCCAAATCACTCAGCCAGCTTTTATGCCTAAAACAGAACTAGAACTCACCATTTCCTGCTGATTGGCCCACTCAGCCAGCCCAAAAATCACCCAGCTGATTTTCATGGCTAAGGCAGGACTAGAACTCACTGTCTCCTGGCAATTGGCCCAGCCACCCAGCCGGTTTTCATGTCTAAGGCGCAACTAGAACTCACTGTCTCCTGATTTCTAGCCTGGTGCCTTAACCACTAGAGCAAACTGGCTCTCATTGCCATTTAGCCTCATGATAATTGTGCAGTGCCAACTAGGATGGCAAAAAAAAAACAAAAAACCATTCTGGCTGAAAATGGCACAATACAGGGTGCCATACAACATCGTGAACTTATTTTCAGTTCTCTTATGGGTAGAAATGTGCTACATCTGCCTTTCTCAACCTGGTACTTTCCAGATCTGCTACATTGCAAGAGGAATCAACCCCAGGAAGCATTTTGTAGGGGTAGAGCAGGGGTGGGCAAATGTGGCCCTTTTACAACCTGTGGACTTCAACTCCCAGAATTCCTGAGACAGCTTGGCTGTCTCAGGAATTCTGGGAGTTGAAGTCCATAGGTTGGCTGTCTCAGGAATTCTGGGAGTTGAAGTCCACAGGTTGTAAAAGGGCCACATTTGCCCACCCCTGGGGTAGAGGATAGGATTTAGAGGCAAGCTGGCCCCTCCAGAGCAGGGGTCTCCAACCTTGGCAATTTTAAGACTTGTGGACTTCAAGTCCCAGAATTCCCCAGCCAGCAAAGCTGGGGAATTCTGGGAGTTGAAGTCCTCAAGTCTTAAAGTTGCCAAGGTTGGAGACCCCTGCTCCAGATAATGAAAATAGGAAATAAATAAGGAAAAAAAAGAATAAATAACCTTTCAGATGACAAAACGAATCAATAATTTGCACCGGTACTTCAATACAGGCGGTCCTCGACTTACCACCATTTGAGCCCAATGTTTTTGTTGCTTAGCGAAACAGTCATTAAGCGACCTCCATCCCTTTTTACGACCTTTCTTGCCAGGGGTTCAGTTAATAACACGGTTGTTCAGTGAATCTGGCGTCACCATTGACCCTTTGTCAAAAGGTGGCAAAAAAAGGTGACCCCCCAAACACTGCCACAGTCATAAATATGAGTCAATCATATCAAGCAGCTGAAATTTTTGACCATGGGGATACCGTAGTGGTCGTTAAGTTTGGAAAATGATTTTTCATGCCATTGTAATTTCGAAAGGTCACTAAATGAACTGTCATTAGACTGGTGCGGTGGCCTAGAGGTGGAGCTCTGGCCTCACAATCAGGAGGCTGTGAGTTCGATCCTAGGTTGAGGCAGATATTTCTTTCTCTGGGAACACTGAGAATATATCTGCTGAACAAAATTCCCCATTGGCAACAGGAAAGGCATCCGGCCAGTAAAACACTCAGCTCCATTCAGTGGCCAAGACTCCACCCTACAAGGGATTATGGGGTCGTTAAACGAAGATGATGACGACTAAATGAACTGTCATTAGACTGGTGCGGTGGCCTAGAGGTGGCGCTCTCGCCTCAGAATCAGGCGGCTGTGAGTTCGATCCTAGGTAGAGGCAGATATTTCTCTCTCTGGGCACAACAAGAATATATCTGCTGAATATGACTCCGCATTGGCAACAGGAAAGGCATCTGGCCAGTAAATCACTCAGCTCCATTCAGTGGCCAAGACTCCACCCCACAAGGGATTATGGGGTCGTTAAATGAAGATGATGATGACTAAATGAACTGTCATTAGACTGGTGCGGTGGCCTAGAGGTGGCGCTCTCGCCTCACAATCAGGAGGCTGTGAGTTCGATCCTAGGTAGAGGCAGATATTTCTCTCTGGGCACAACAAGAATATATCTGCTGAATATGACTCCGCATTGGCAACAGGAAAGGCATCTGGCCAGTAAATCACTCAGCTCCATTCAGTGGCCAAGATCCACCCCACAAGGGATTATGGGGTCGTTAAATGAAGATGATGATGAGTAAATGAACTATCATTAAGTTGAGGACTATCTATAGGCAGAGAAAAGCGATTTTTTTCCCCCTTTTCAAATGCCATTTCCCATCCAGCTCCATGGACTTTCTCTTCCCAACATTTTTCATTTTTCCTTCAATTTTTTTCCCCAAAGGCCTCCATCGCTTGGGGGGAGCAGGAGAAGAGAGGGGGAGACCCACCATTGGGAACCAGCCCAGCATACAAGCCACGCCTACACGCAGTATTGGCCACGCCCCCACGGGAATCGAGCTTGGGGGGGAAGAAATGGACCAGCCCAAGAGGCCACGCCCACCGACGGACCACGCCCCCCCTGGAGCAAGACGGCAGAAAGGAACGCAGCGAGCCCACACAACCCCCCCCTCTTTTCGGGGTGAATAATGGGCGCGTCCAGATCTATTCTAGGGCTTTCTCCCCCCCCCTTCCAGGCGTGAGGAATGGTTGCATCCGGCGGGGAGGGGGAGGGGGGGAGGTTTTCTTACATTCCTTCCCTCAGCCGCGGCTTTTCCACCCCTTTTGTTTCCTTCCGTTCGTTTAGGCCGCTCTTCGGGAGGCCGTTTCGGTCCTCAAGGGAACGGCGGCTCCGTTCTGCGGGGGTGGCGGCCCGGCCAGCGGTCCCGAGACTTACCATGGTCTCGAGCGTAGTAACCGCCGTCTCCATGTTGAATAGTTGACATTCCTCAGGCGGTGGCATTCTCCCCTCCCCTGGCCGGACCGCCCCTTTTCTTTGCTGAGGGGAAGAGACGGCGCTTCCTATTGGTCGGTTGTCATTCCATCCTCTTCCTCATTGGCTTCTCCCGAGGGCGTCCTTACACCTATTGGACAACGCCTGGGATAACGCCCCAAGATGAAACGAGAGCTCCGATTGAGTGGCTTGGAAGCTAACGCCCTTTTCTATTGGTTGGTTAATAGCGAAGCGAGCTGGGAGAAAACTGAACCGGGAGACCGGATTGGTTGATGGGCGTCAGCATGCGTCGCTTCATTGGCCCTTGGCGTAGCTTTTAATTTTCAAAGGCGGGCCCGGCTCGTCGATGCCCTCCTTTCGCTCTGCCTCCCCTTTTCGTTGGCCCCACCTTCCTAGCCGACTTTTAATTCCGATTGGCTCGCGTTGGAAACCGGGAAAAGACGATTCGCTGAAAGGACGTTCAATCAGAAGGACGTTTAATGCCATTGAAGTTTGAGGCGGATGGAACGTTGGCTCACACTTGCTGCGCTGTGATTGGCTCCGGCGGAGTTTGAATTGCTCGGCGTGGGCGATGCTGCAGGCGCGTTCAGACGTGGCTACTCGCATCTCGGGAGGCTGCTCATCCCGGGTGGTTTTGAACGGGGATCGTCCCCGAGGAATCCTGACCTGGACAGGAAACCCTTTCCTGCCATAAAATTTCGGCTCACTGGGGCAAGTTCGCACGACACGTGAGCAATTGGGTTCAGTGAGTCGTGGGAATCGTTTTGTCCACGGGATGGGTCAACCATGAACTTGGGCAGTGGTTTACAGGTAGTCCTCGGCGTGCAGCGGTTTCATTTAGTGACCGTTCAACGTTACAACGGCACTGGGGAAAAAAATGACTTATGACCGTTTTTTCAAAATCACAACTTTTGCAGCCTCATGAGATCAAAATTTAAATGCTTGGCAACTGGTTCATATATACGGGGTCATTTGATCACTTTTTGCGACCGTCTGATCAAGCAAAATCCATGGGGTAACCGGATTCACTTAACAACCGGGTTAGTAGCAACAGCGCTTAGACTTATAGACCGCTTCATAATGCTTTGCAGCCCTCTTTAAGCGGTTTTACAGAGTCAGCCTCTTGCCCCCAACAATCTGGATCCTCACTTGACCGACCTCATAAGGAAAGATGGAACAATGATTCAACCCTGAACTGGTCAAAATTGAACTGCTGGCAGTGAGCAGAGTTAGCCTGCAATAGTAATACCACTTAAACTTATATACCGCTTCACAGTGCTTTTACAGCGCTCTCTAAGCAGCTTCTTGCCCCCAAGAATCTGGGTCCTCATTTTACCAAGGATGGAAGGCTGAGTCAACCTGGAGCTGATCAGGATCAAACTCCTGGCAGTGAGCAGAGTTAGCCTGCAATAGTATTACCACCTAGATTTATATACTGCTTCACAGTTCTTTACAGTGGTCTCTAAGCAGATTACAGAGTCAGCCTTTTGCCCCCAACAATCTGGGTCCTCATTTTACCGACCTCCAAAAGGATGGAACCCGTTCCATCCTTTCGGTTTACTCAGCCGTGGCTGAGTAAACCTTGAGCCAGCCAGGATCGAACTGCCAAGCTGCAGGCAGTTGGCAGTCATCAGAAGTAGCCCTGCAGTACTGCCTTCTAATCACTGCGCCACCATAGTAACTTATCAACTGCAGTGATTACAACGGGCAAGAAAAGTCGTAAAATGGGGCAAAACTCACTTATCAAATGTCTTCCTGAACAACAGAAATGGTGGTTGTAAGTCGAGGACTACCTGTATTTGTTTGGGGACCGCCTGTGCTGTAAACGGAACCCTTGTGTTTGGCCAATGGGGATTTAGTACCGTGGTTCTCCGAAAACATGACCCACCTCAATAATTAGCCCAAGCCTAATTTTTTGAGGGTGGGCCTAATATTACCCCACCCCAAAAATAAGCTGGGGGGGAATGGGCGTGGCCAGAACAAGTGGCGGTGCGGGGGGGCAACTACCCAGCTGCAACTGCAGTCCGCTGGCCCCTTGGGGCGGCACAAATACCGCTTTTGCCCTTCTCTTTCTGGGCACAGCGCTTCTACTTTGCTTTTTCCCTCTGTTGGAAGAAATATCCTTCTGAGTTCAGCTCCAAGTGGGGAAAAAGACACTGGAAACATGGAGATTGCTTGGAAAGATGGTTTAATGGTGGACAGGATCACATGGCTTGAGTTCCTGAACAGAAAAGGGGCGGAGATGCTGTGAGTCCTCAGGTTTTAGGCCCTCTCTGGCTTTGAACTTCTGGGGCCCAGAAAGAGTATCCTGATTGGTTGTCAGGGCCCAGGGGGTGGGGTCTTAACTAGCCTTGCTGGCTGATGTAATCTTCTCAGGTGCCATGCGGTGAGTTTCTGTTGCTAGATAGGTCCTATTGTATTAGTTTCTGTTGCTAGATGGGTCCTATTGTGTTGCAGATGATGGTCCATTGACAAAGGTGGGGGGAATGAGTGAGCTTGTCTGAGGCTTTTATGGTCCATTGACAAAGGTGGGAGGCGGAAAGCTGCTTTGTCTTTAAAAGATGTTTCTCCATTTCTCATCCAGGGAAACATAATATTCTGCCTTTTTTAATATTTCCTAAAATATTTCATTCTTCTAGGAGAGGGGTGGGTGATAACTTCCTACACCTCTTTGGGAGGCTCTCGGATGACAGGCATTTTCCTGCCTGTCATCCATTCCTCAAGCTCAGCACAGACTGAGGGAAGGATGGCAGGCAGGAAAATCCCCCTCCCCATTTTCCTCCCGTTCGCCAAAAAGCCTCCAATTTTCAAGTCTAAAAGAAAATAAGACTCGGTCTTATTTTCTGAGAAACACGGTATGTCGTGTTGAATTTTGGAAGTCTTCCGTGTGGCTGGTCTTCCTTGCCCACAACCTAGTCCAGAGAGTTATTTGATTATACACGTAATAACAGCTGCAAGAATTGTTTATGCTCAAAATTGGAAATTAGAGAAAATACCTTTGGAAAATGAAGTAATAAAAAAGATTTTAGATTGTGCAGAAATGAACCGATTAACTTTGTTGATTAAAGATAGGGAAGAATCAGAATACTTCAGAATATGGAATTATTTCTATTGTGGGTTGGAAAAGAGATATAAATGATTAATTTTGTAACTGTGTGTAAAAATTTGATGGCAAGAATATGGTTATAGGAATGAACTTTTATAGTGGTTTGGATGACGATTAAGAGAGAAGAAACTGTTGGAACAAGAAGAACAAAAAGAACTGAAGAAGTTAACACCGAGATGTCACAGGGGAAGGATCATTGAATTTGCGCATGGTCGAATTTGCGCATGTCCAAGATGGCGGCGCCCGCTGGGATGGCGATCTGAGGATGGGGCGCCGACCTACCCTTTGGGTCCTTTGGGGGTCGTTTTGAAGATCCTCGACCCCAGGACCTGTCAGGGGAGCTCCCGGCCAGCACGGAGAGGGTTTTCTTTCCCTCCGTGACTGAGCCGAGGGGAAGGGGCGATGCGTGGAGCGCCAGGCTGATCAGCTGGGCGTCGGCAGCGTCGGCAGCGTTTCTTTCACAGCCGGAGCCATCAATTAGAGGGAGCGGCGTTGTGCCGGGGGGGCGCCCGCCGCGCGGCAAGTTTCGAAGCCCGGGGGGGTGGCCCGAAGTGCTACACGATGTGTCGGGCACCCCCTGAAGACCTCTGGGACGTCGCCAGGCTCTTTGGGGGCTGGCAACGATGGCGCGGTGGTGGCGGCGATGGCGGTTGCTGTGGAGGCTAGCTGGCGGTCAGACGGCGCTGGGGACCCCCCCTTTTTGGAGTAGGAGCTGGGGGGGCAACAACCAACAGGTCTGGGAGACCTGCAACCACGGTTGGGCGGAAAGGACCCGGAGCGATTTTCTGGGCCTTGGGAGGCCTTAATTTGTGGTTGTGCGGGGGGCGGGGGGGCTTGAGAAAGCCGCCCCATTTCTGCCCCATTTCTTTCTCCTCCAGCGTTCCCTTTTAGAACTGGGCCCACCTGGACCAACTGTCAGCCTGTGGGACCCATTGGCGCTATGCCCTATTATTATTACTATTCTGAATCCCCCTGACTCTGGAGAGGACTATTTTCATCTGAATGGGAGACCGGTACATGGCTGCATCTCGTCGGCTGAGGGGGCTAGACATTGCCTGACCACCGTGAGAGGGTGGCCAGATGCCAGAGCCCCTGGGGGCTGAACCGGGACGCTTTCTACATATATGCACTTTACCAGCTTTCCACACATATGCACTTTACCAGCGAGGGGACTTTACCAGCGAGGGGACCTTACCATCGGTCTTTACCACCGGACAAAACGCCGTGAGAGGGCGACTTTTGGACCTGACCCCTGGACGCTGTCTATATGCACCGGTTCATTGCTGCCACCCCACCACAAGAGGGGGTTGTCCAGCTGACCTAACCACCGTGAGAGGGTGGTTAGATCTATTTCCCCCTTGGAACTGTGGTCGTCCTGGCTTTGGACTATGTCCTCTGTTGTGAGGGGACAGGGGACTTGGTACTGCAAATATGTCTCTGAGATCCCCCATTCTTTTATCTTCTCCTCGGTCCTTTATATACACCCTCAGGATATGGTCGTGTTACCCATTATGATTAATGTACTCAGCAGCGGAGCTTCTTGGTCTGCGAGACTCCCCCCTCTCGCAGGCTTGGCCCTCCATTCTATCGAGGGCCTACCTCGATGACGGGCTCTGGAGTCCCGAGAGGTGGCATGCCGCAAAGAGGGGGCTGCGGGGTTTTTTAAAATTGTCCTTGTTTAAACTTTTAAGGGGTTCTGGGAGGGGGGAGGGGGGTGGGATTGGAATTAGGATTGTGGGTTTGGGGGATAACCCACTAGGGGGAGAGTCGGGCTTGGCCAGGACGTTCGGCGGGGGTGGTGGGGGATCCGGAGGGGGTCGAGCTGGTCCAGACTATGCTTTCACCATCGGTACTGTGTGTGGGAGGGGTAGATATGGCGGGAGCAGGGGGCCATATCATGTTAAGGGAGCACGCACCCGCTGTCTTCAAGCGGTAGAGTGCTCCGGCCCCCAAGGCTCCACCCGTTCTCCAGGTAGTACAGACCTTCAGGGCCCGGGCCTTCGTCTGATGTTGTGCAACGCCAGGTCTGTAGTAAATAAAGCCCCCCTCATCTGTGATCTTGTTTACGAGGGGGGAGCGGACCTGGCGGGTATTACGGAGACCTGGTTGGGCCCAGAGGGAGGGGTCCCTCTGGTAGAAATGTGCCCACCAGGTTTCCACGCATTCCATCAGCCAAGGTCACAGGGGAGGGGTGGGGGAGTAGCGGTTATTATTAGAGAAGGCCTTAGGCCGAGGGAGACCACTGTTCCTCAGACGGCCGGTTGTGAGTCCCTCCTTGTGAAGTGGGGCCACGGGGTTCAGATGGGTTTGCTGATCACGTACCTGGCTCCCTGCCACGTGGCGGCAGCCCTGCCCGAGCTACTCAACGTTATTGCCGCGGTGGCGGTTGATACCCCCAGACTTATGGTCATGGGGGATTTCAACCTGCCATCCGTGGGTGAGGCGTCTGAGGTGGCTCGGGAGTTCATGGCTTCCATGACGGCCATGGACCTGACCCAACTAATTCATGGCCCTACGCACACTGGGGGAAACACACTGGACTTGGTTTTTGTCTCTGGACAGTGGTTGAGTGATCTCGAGATAGGGGATATAGTCATCGAGCCCTTGTCATGGTCAGATCACTCGCTCCTTCGCCTTGACCTTCGAACCGCAGCACCCCACCGCAGGGAGGCGGAACCGGTAAGATGGTACCGCCCCAGGCGCC